GATGTTGTTTTGCCACAGGGTGTTTACAATGAGAAAGCGATTAGCGCCATTGACAAGAACTTTTTACCTGTTAAAAAAAAAAAGTGCTGTACGCGTTAAATCTAAATTCACCGCGTTCTGTAGGGAAGTAGGACTTCCTACGCTGGCTGGAACCTTAGCTAGTAGCAAAAGCACTAACTTGAACGTCTTTTTTTCCGCTAAAACCCACAAAGTGGGCATTCCCTTCAGAACCATTGTTAGTGAAAATGGTTCATGGCAGGGCAACGTTAGCAAATTCCTGTTAAGCAAACTAAAGCCACTCAGTGTTAGTGACCCGTTTCGCACTAAAAGCTCTAGTGATGTCGCAGATTTCATACGGAATAACCAGCAGATTTCCTTTGCTTTCTCAGTAGATGTTGAAGACCTGTTTTATTCGGTACCTCATGATAAGCTTTTGACTTCGGTCCGACAGTGCATAGAAGATAATGGTGACGTTTCTTTTATGAATAATGCGGGCGTATCCGTTGAAAACTTTTTAGCACTTTTAGAATTTTATCTTAACGTTACTTTTATTACTTTTAACGACAAGCCCTATCTACAACGACAAGGCATCTGTATAGGTTCTTGTGTCGCCCCTGTTCTTACTGATATTTTTTAGCAGATGTAGATAGGACGTTGGATAAATTTTTAAGGGGGAATAAGGTTTTGAAGATTTTTAGATATGTTGACGATTTTTTAATTCTTTTAGACAAGCGGGGGCCATATACACCCCCCAATTACTTTTTAGATTTTCAAGTAGACGCCTGTACTTCAGTGAGTGTGCGTGCGGATGAGGTATCATATGAAGTGCAGCGTTCTTATTGTGAACATGTGCTTAGTGTTTTTAAAGATCATGGACGCGGACTTAGGTTCACTACCGAGGTACCCACAGAGGCTTGTCTCCAGTTTTTAGACCTCAAGCTACTGTGGGGTAGTGAACACTTTTGTTGGGTGTACCGGCCTAGAGTGAAGAAGGGGCTGTTGCCGTATGATTCTGCACACTCGAAATTAGTTAAAAGAGGTATTGCTTCGCTATGTCTAGAATCCTCGTTGATTAAGTCGTGTCCACACCACATGCGTACTAGTTTTTATGAACAGATCAGCCGATTGACGGCGGCGGGCTTCCCTTCGTCGGTCCTAAACGCGGTCGCCGAGTCACTACTGCAGAAGATGAAACGTGGAACACAAAGGGATAGAGCTACTTGGGATCCTTCGGGTTCCAAGCTTCAAGTCGTGCCTTACGTGCACAAGCTCTCCCATAATATTAAGAAGGTTGCTGCAAGGCATGGTGTGGCTGTGGTCTTTTCTGCGCCAGAAAAGCTCGCCAAGTTATGTCCGCGTATTTGCAATGGCAAGAGACGCGGTTGCGTGAAAAAACATGAGAATGCCTTCGTAAAATGTTCCATGGGAGTTGTATACTCCATTCCTTTTTCCTGCGGTAACGTGTACATTGGCATTACCGAGCGATGCCTCAATGACCGGCTTAGGGAGCATGCGCTAAAGGTTAAGAAAAACGAGGATAAGTACGCACATCTTGTGTCGCATATTGCCGCATGTGGGTGTGAACCACGATTTTCGGATACAAGGATTCTTGGGAGAAGCTCAAATTTATCAGCACGTTTGCTGTTAGAAGCATATTATATAGAAAAGAATAAAGATATATGTGTCAGCGAGCCATCTTTGGTGTTGCATCAACAAGAAATATCTTTCCTTGATGCGAGGGTTTAGCGATTATATCTCCTTTTCGTGTTAACCCCCCCCTTTTTTTACTTTTTTTACTTTTTTTACTTTTTTACTTGTTCTAGTGGTGTGGTGACGCCATGTTGGTTTTCTACTGGCGCAGTTCTGTTAGTTTGTGCCTTTGCGCATTTCGATGTACGTATTTAAGAAGGTCAGATAGGAGCAATAAACAGTTGGTAGTGAGCGCTGCGTGTCGGGTGTGTTGCTCTGGTGTAAGTGTGTGTGCTTGTGTGAGTGTTTGCGTGAGTCGAGGTTGCGCCAAAATTTCTAAGTATATGATGTATAACCAACTAGCCCAACAACAAGTTTTATTAAGCTATATTTCTAGTGCAATGGGCCCCTCTTTTTATGCTCCTAATGTGTCTGCGAAGATTGACCTTCTTATGGGCTACATCAGTGAAGCCACATGCAGAGCAAGGATTTCCGCCTTCTGCATCCGGAAAGCCATCACACCAGAAGAAGTAAGTGCCTTGTTTGGGTGTGTGAGACCTTCTTGGGGACACGTGAAAAGAGTGCTCAAAATTCTTAGAGCGGAATTGTGGCGCCAAGTAAGGCTGCTCTATGATTGGCTTCGTGTGATTCTTCAATGCGAATACCCTGAACAACTTGCGGCTTATAAACTCGGGAAAGTCAAGCGTCGTATAGCTCAGACAACTGAATCTAGGTGGAGGAGCGTGTTGACCCCCCTTCTGAGGCTTCAAGGTAAACGGAGAAGAGATAATTATCAGGACCTCGTTGTTCTCGGGGGTGCAGTGCTACCTGAAGACATTGAAAAGCTTCTGCGAAAAGGACCAAAGTATGCATGCACACCAAGTGTTTCCGCCCATGACCTGGTAGGCCTGAACAGGGACCTGTCATCTAAGGCCAACCAGGACCGAGAAAGATGCCTGCTGGACGGTATGGACTGCCTCACGAGGTGTGCAAGCCAACTTCCGGACAATAGCGGTAGCAGAAGACTGAGTAGTGTGGTGTCTTTTTTCAAGAAGCAGAATTTGATGTTAGTACAAGCCGACAAGGAGGGTGGTTTCGTTGTTTTGCCACAGGGTGTTTACAATGAGAAAGCGATTAGCGCCATTGACAAGAACTTTTTACCTGTTAAAAAAAGTGCTGTACGCGTTAAATCTAAATTCACCGCGTTCTGTAGGGAAGTAGGACTTCCTACGCTGGCTGGAACCTTAGCTAGTAGCAAAAGCACTAACTTGAACGTCTTTTTTTCCGCTAAAACCCACAAAGTGGGCATTCCCTTCAGAACCATTGTTAGTGAAAATGGTTCATGGCAGGGCAACGTTAGCAAATTCCTGTTAAGCAAACTAAAGCCACTCAGTGTTAGTGACCCGTTTCGCACAAAAAGCTCTAGTGATGTCGCAGATTTCATACGGAATAACCAGCAGATTTCCTTTGCTTTCTCAGTAGATGTTGAAGACCTGTTTTATTCGGTACCTCATGATAAGCTTTTGACTTCGGTCCGACAGTGCATAGAAGATAATGGTGACGTTTCTTTTATGAATAATGCGGGCGTATCCGTTGAAAACTTTTTAGCACTTTTAGAATTTTATCTTAACGTTACTTTTATTACTTTTAACGACAAACCCTATCTACAACGACAAGGCATCTGTATAGGTTCTTGTGTCGCCCCTGTTCTTACTGATATTTTTTTAGCAGATGTAGATAGGACGTTGGATAAATTTTTAAGGGGGAATAAGGTTTTAAAGATTTTTAGATATGTTGACGATTTTTTAATTCTTTTAGACAAGCGGGGGCCATATACACCCCCCAATTACTTTTTAGATTTTCAAGTAGACGCCTGTACTTCAGTGAGTGTGCGTGCGGATGAGGTATCATATGAAGTGCAGCGTTCTTATTGTGAACATGTGCTTAGTGTTTTTAAAGATCATGGACGCGGACTTAGGTTCACTACCGAGGTACCCACAGAGGCTTGTCTCCAGTTTTTAGACCTCAAGCTACTGTGGGGTAGTGAACACTTTTGTTGGGTGTACCGGCCTAGAGTGAAGAAGGGGCTGTTGCCGTATGATTCTGCACACTCGAAATTAGTTAAAAGAGGTATTGCTTCGCTATGTCTAGAATCCTCGTTGATTAAGTCGTGTCCACACCACATGCGTACTAGTTTTTATGAACAGATCAGCCGATTGACGGCGGCGGGCTTCCCTTCGTCGGTCCTAAACGCGGTCGCCGAGTCACTACTGCAGAAGATGAAACGTGGAACACAAAGGGATAGAGCTACTTGGGATCCTTCGGGTTCCAAGCTTCAAGTCGTGCCTTACGTGCACAAGCTCTCCCATAATATTAAGAAGGTTGCTGCAAGGCATGGTGTGGCTGTGGTCTTTTCTGCGCCAGAAAAGCTCGCCAAGTTATGTCCGCGTATTTGCAATGGCAAGAGACGCGGTTGCGTGAAAAAAACATGAGAATGCCTTCGTAAAATGTTCCATGGGAGTTGTATACTCCATTCCTTTTTCCTGCGGTAACGTGTACATTGGCATTACCGAGCGATGCCTCAATGACCGGCTTAGGGAGCATGCGCTAAAGGTTAAGAAAAACGAGGATAAGTACGCACATCTTGTGTCGCATATTGCCGCATGTGGGTGTGAACCACGATTTTCGGATACAAGGATTCTTGGGAGAAGCTCAAATTTATCAGCACGTTTGCTGTTAGAAGCATATTATATAGAAAAGAATAAAGATATATGTGTCAGCGAGCCATCTTTGGTGTTGCATCAACAAGAAATATCTTTCCTTGATGCGAGGGTTTAGCGATTATATCTCCTTTTCGTGTTAACCCCCCCCTTTTTTTTACTTTTTTTACTTTTTTTACTTTTTTTACTTTTTTCTAGTGGTGTGGTGACGCCATGTTGGTTTTCTACTGGCGCAGTTCTGTTAGTTTGTGCCTTTGCGCATTTCGATGTACGTATTTAAGAAGGTCAGATAGGAGCAATAAACAGTTGGTAGTGAGCGCTGCGTGTCGGGTGTGTTGCTCTGGTGTAAGTGTGTGTGCTTGTGTGAGTGTTTGCGTGAGTCGAGGTTGCGCCAAAATTTCTAATTAATTCTCATCATTTAGGCAAATGTCTGTGTTCATCAGCACTTAGTGTACAACTTTGCTGCAGATGCATGCAGCGCAGAAATTCCTGTAGCATGCACACGCTGCTGTCACGACTGATGTGTACCGCACTGTTTATCAAATCTTTTGAATTGTGTGATTTTAGTAACATCAACGTGGCGCTTTGCAGGAAGAAGCACTACTTCAGGACCTTCCTCGCTGGATCCTTGGCTGGTTGCACGGCGTCTACGCTGACGTACCCCTTGGATGTAGCACGCGCAAGGATGGCAGTTTCTATGCCAGATAGGTGAGCATAGCCCTATAATTATAGTGAAGCTGACAGGCTTCTCATTTCATAATTAGAACAGCATAAATTTGTATGCATAATAGTGAAGCTGCATCAGTCGAGACATTCAAAGCTTGAGAAAGCTTAGGTGTATGTTACCAATCTCTAATACCTCAAATCAATGCAGAGAGCTTTTGGACAGCTCATATAGTATTAATAAACTACCCAGTTTAATATAACTAGACAAACACATATTACTTCTTTACATTTAAGCAGCTTCCAATACTGTCATATGTATTTTCACTATAAATGTATGTTAAAACTTGCTCTTATGGTTAGATCGTTTCTTTTCACTATAATTGCCTGAATGCCACTAAAAGTTATTTCATGTCACATGGTGATGGACTCAAAATGATGTATAAGGAGAGAAACTATTTCACATGTGTTTGTCAATTGTGCATCTGCCACACCAAAAACTTCACTTTTTCCACGAGAAGACACTTGGTGATCCTGAAAATGGAAGAGAGCAAAAAAGAAAGGGTGGCATCTTTGCACTTGTTCTCCCACCAACTCACCGTGATGTCGTATATCTTGATTGGTTCTGCTAGATGCACTCAAGAGCGTACTAAATTCATGTAAAAATAATTTATATTGCAGGGGCACCAGCGACACATTAGTTTGCTGTCAAAGCTCTATTCATTTGGTGCAGCTGTAATTTTTTCCCTTCTAACAATGAATCTGTGATGGCAATGTTACCGACAACTTAGTTTTTGAAGAATAATGTGGGTGTCTGTATGTATAGTGTTTCACCTGAGTGTCACATTAACATGGTGTTGTAAAGACTGGTTGTTTCTACCTTGCTGCAGCAAACTGGGCTCAAGTTCCGCTATGTTAAGGGACCTCTGACAGCAAAAATATTTCTTGCAATAATTCTTTTGCTGTGATTTGTGGCCTTGCATGTGGTAATGCAGGACATAGATCATGCATGCTCTAATGTATTGCATAATTGTAACGTTAGTAGGTAGTGACTCAAGGCAGAGGCTGAGTAGGAAGAAGTGCTTTTAGAATAAACATGAAGTATGAGCCAGGCCACGTCTCCCAGTCATCATAGCGTCACACGAGGCGACAGGATGGAGACCTGCCTGCCCCTTCATCAGTCGCTCATCATCGATGCAGTTCCCCAGAAGACACCCTGACCATACGTTGACTACCGAATCATCGCCTAGAAGGACAACGACCAGCACCATGACAGAACCATCGGCTGACCTCGACATCCCTAAGTACACCGGATCAGTGGACGACGGACCCGTACAGGACTGGTTCAACCTATTCGAGGTCCACGCCGCCTCTGCATCCTGGTCGGAACGGCAGATGATCATCAACTTCACTGACTACATCTCCGGTGAGGCATTTAAGTTTTACCTCACCCACATCTTTGAAAATGACGAGTCTTGGCAAAAGATAGAAGAAGAAATGATCACTCGTTTTAGCGACTATGATTAAGACCTACTTATTGCCAACCATCTCAAGAAAACCCGACACTATCGTCAATTCCCTAAGCAATCATCGAGCATTTGAAAGCCCAACGTGAATCGACAACTGCCACAAGACAAAGTCACACACGAGTTTACTTACAGAAGACCATGCGCATTCTGGCAAAAACCCAACCATCAAGTGTGCCTCCCCTCTGCAGGAAAGTCGGAATTCGCAAAGTCCTCGCTCCAGCTTATGACGCGAGGCGTTGCTCACCCACCTGATTGCCTTCATTCTTCGTCTCGCATACGTGATCCACCAGGCAGTTTTTTATTACGCGGTTTTTCAAGCGCTCCTATCGCTCACCATTTGCCTCATAAGGACGCCGCGATCACGGTAGATGACCTGACGCTTCACGAAAATACCCGGTCAAGCCATGCTCTTTCAGGACGGGTTCATTCATTACCGTCCGGTGCACACACCTTAGACAGTCGAAGCAAAGCACAAGGCTCAGACGTATTGAACACCGCACGCTGCCAGGCGCAAGGGCTCTTCGTAGTGAACAGTGTAGAAGAAGCTTCTAAAGAGCTGTCTATCAACCTTGAAGCATTATCTTCACTGCCCGAACAGAATTACAACAGCCCACAGACTACCAGCTGCCGACTAGACACCAGATCAAGTTGTCAAGAAAACCGGCCTGATGTTCAAGAATGGCTCCTACCGCAACGCGTTCCACAGCAACATCAGCAACGTCAACAAAAACAACAAGGAGAACCCCAAAAACTAGAATGGCCACACCAACAAGGACAACGAAGAACTAAAGCTACATCGAAAGCATACTTGCGGCTTAAAGAATCTCGTGAACAACGATCACAAAAGAAAAGACTGATTCCGTATCTGAGCCAGCTTAGAAAGAAAAGCCAAGGAACTTTTCTGCAGCAGCTTTCAAGATTGCGCCTTCGGTCTGAACATCTGCGTTATCACCATAGAAAACTCCCCAAAAGCCACAAAACAACCGTTTGTGCTCTGCAGGAACACAAGCAGCGCCTAATAAGCCACGATCAACGGGTGCGTAAACTGCATGCACGCCGTTTGTGTGACCCACGACAAAAAATGCGACGCCTATGAAACATTCAATCCTGCAAAGCGTTCCAACCTCGTTCGTTCTTTGCAAGAATACCGGCTGTATCTCCATCTGTTTTCACGCTCAAAGCATGTTTATGTTGTCCAGAGCATAACAACCAGCCTCGCCCACCGGAGCTGCACTTGATAACCCCGGATTGCTGCCCTCTCTTGTGAAGACTATGTGTGATCTTAGGGAACTTCAATGTGATGTGCAACTACGGCCTATTTCGATGTTTCTTTTTTTGCGTTCTAGTACTGCGCATTCATTATGCATTGTATGATACAACACGCGCATTCTTTCGGGGGGAGGGGGAATCGTGTAACGTAAGTAGGTAGTGACTGAAGGTAGAGGCTGAGGAGGAAAAAGTGCTTTTAGAATAAACATGGCGTATGAGCCAGGCCACGTCTCCCAATCATCATAGCGTCACATAATTAATGCTAGCGTTACTAATTGTGACCAATTTGGCATCACTTTGAAATGCGCTCAAGCTTTGGTGATGTTGATAGCACAGTTTTCAAATCGGGGGGGACCCATCCGCCATATAAAATGAAACGATGCGATTGCTTTGGTAGGAGGTAATCCTGCTAGGAAAGTGTCCCTTTAAAAATGGAGAAAAGCATTCTTGGTGTAAGCAGCCAAAACCACCTAGAGAACAGCACTACAACAGACTGAGAGGGGCGATGGATAATAACCCTCATAAGGTGCCAGTTGCGGTGTTGTCTATGCTTTGCAAGCCTTCTGCGATGTTGACAGTACTCGCTATCCTTGTGGAATGTCGAATGGGACGTTCGTCTGTGTCACACTAGTGGCGATGTTGCGAGGTGCTGCCAACTTGGATGAGTACTCACGTTTACTTAAAGACCAAATTAAAACTTCATAACCCATTGGCTTCCATGTCCAGCGTTCTGCCGGCCACCTGAAAAATGTTTATATTTGACATTGTTTCATAGATGGCAGCAAAGTATTTTGCATCTGCCTTTTGTTTGGTATAATATCCGCTAGACTGAGATAGTTGTCTATCTTTTTTAGCTGTTTGTGTTTTTTTTATGTTTAATGGTGAATGGTACACTATCCCGGCTTTTTCGAAGCATGGCCTTGCGAAAGAAATGTGGAAAAAACGTGGCGTTGCGGCCATATCAATGCGCCTACAAGCCGCCTAATGGGCTCATTTTCCTCGCTACATCCTGGCAAACAAAGTCAAGCAGAATCCATGAAGTTTGTATGGCACAGGGCAAAAAGTTGGAGAGCCGGCGAGAGTGTGAAAAATGTAAAGTAGATCTTTACATACCCATGTTCTTTAAAATTTTTCACACGCGAAAATCGTACAGTAGCAGCTGATGTAGTCAAGCATTGTTAATCAAATAAAACAAAGTTTATTATTCAGTGACGTTTGTTGCATATTTAATTGTGGTTTAGGTGCACCAACCCACGCCGCCTGTGGGCACGACAATATTTCGGCAAAATACCAGGCGGGAAAGGCCGCGTAGCGCTCAGTCAGTCATCAACCAGGACATTCAAACAACACAAACATCTCGAGGTTTCGATTTCGTTGTCAAGGAACCCTTTAACACTGCTTCTGTCGTGTGAGTTGTTGATGTTGTCAAACATTGTTTTACATTTGCACTATTCGGTGTATACACTTTGGTGTTTGTGGTGCACTGTTGAGAACTGCTTTGCTGACTGGGGGTACTCCTTGATTCATAACTTTGTTTGTTTTATTCTTTTCATGCTAATAGGTACCGAAACATTATTGAAGTGTTTCGGGAAATCTGGAGGTTGGAAGGCCCGAGGAACTTGTACAGAGGGTTTGCACCTACAATGCTTGGCGTCATTCCCTATGCTGGTGCTAGTTTTTTTACGTATGAGACTCTCAAGAGGCTAAGAGCAGGTAAGGATAAATTTTTTTCGCCGTTGATTCTTGTAGCATATTACATTCATTTGTGCTCTACCGTACACAAAATCGGGTACATGCTTGTTCAGAATGTTGACTCCACACCATGTTTGTCACGTCAGATTTTTGTCATGTCATGTGACAGAAGTCTCATGATGTGATCAGTTCGCACAATTGAAAATATGAGTATTTATAGTAATACCTGATTCACATTAAACAACAATTTTCTTTTACCCAGTATTCATACTAATTTTGGTAAACAAGCTATAAAATTCACTTCCATCTCACTATGGAACACTCTTCCACTTAAGATAAAACTTTAAGCTCATTTCATCAATTTAAAAAAACAACTAGAAATATATTTTCTTCACGCAGACTAACCATAAGAGTTACTGTTTGTTTCATTTTATGTGTGCTTTTTTGTGTTCTTGGTTCTTAGATAAAGATTATTAAACCGTTGTATCGCTTTTTTTTTCTTGTACTTTTCACTTTGATATGATATGTTAATTTTATACTATTTAATGCATTCATTTGTTAATTTTTTTTCTATATTATTTATTATGACTGATACTTATCGCTACTGTTGCTATTAAGTGTTTACTAACACATTGCTTTTGTACAGGAGGTCCCAATACAGTTTCTTCACCATGAGACCTCTTTCCGTATACTAAACACCCCGCCACGGTGGTCTAGTGGCTAACGTAATCGGCTGCTGACCCGCAGGTCGCGGGAGCGAATTCTGGCTGTGGCTGCTGCATTTCCGATGGAGGCGGAAATGTTGTAGGCCCGTGTGCTCAGATTTGAGTGCACGTTAAAGAACCCCAGGTGGTCAAAATTTCCGGAGAACTCCATTACAGCGTCTCTCATAATCATATGGTGGTTTTGGGAGGTTAAACCCCACATATCAATCAATATCAATCAATTCTGTATACTAAATGCCTGTTATTGTACACAATTTTTATTACTAAATTCTGATTATGATTATAAAAAAAATGGTATTCATTTTCTCCTGTAATAAAAACCTTATGCTAATGAAATGAATGTAATTATAGTTCTCAGCGCATGCAAATTAACTTGTTTTGCTTTAGCATACTGATGCCAGTTTTCAAAGCTGAGTTCCCTCTGCCAGATTTATCTCCTGAATACAGAGGTAGCTCTGAGCAAGTGTAATACCCAATAACCGCTGATAAGATATTTTATTTTACATTAAAGTGAAATTTTTCGTGGCACATCTACTGACAGTGGCATTATTATGATGTCGGGTTGTGGTACAAATCCTGGTGACTTCGTACACTAGTATGGCCAGTCCAAATGACGTCAGTTACCAAAACATTCAAAATGACCGCTTGTGCATCATCGATGGATCCACGAAGCAGAGCGGCTGTGGAAGTGTCAGGATATTGTTACAAAGCAGACAGACCCACAAGGCACAGAGTTGAGGGAATATATGTATTTGCAACTGGTTAGTTGAGCTGAGCTGCCAACATGAAGACCTCGCGCTAGTCTATCTACTGTCGTCCTCTTTTTTTTTGTGTTGATTGCTATGCCCCTGGTACGTAACATTACCCCCGCTAGCGGAAGCACCGTCCCGGAGCTTTATAAGTCGTCTTCAGAAGCAGAGTTGTAGATCTTCAGTCATGACACGTGAACAACATCGCTTGACTGAACTGATGACGATGGAGAGATAGGGCCAATCTCATAGGTCACAGGTGTTACCTGCCACAATACATGGTAAGGTCTCGTGTAACGACACAAAAGTTTTACAGATAGGCCCACCCGAAAACGAGGAGACCAGAGTAACGCAAGGGTGCCTGGAGCTAAATGCGCGTCGCAATGCGAAGCATTGCAACGACATCGTTGCTTGCTCTGTGATGCCATCATACGAGCAAAGGCGAGCTGACGGGCATGGTCGGCTTCTGCAATAGCATCACGAGCATACTCGCTGGTGGACGAGGTGCTTGAAATATTGGTGTCCAAGGGTAAAGTCGGCTGTCTTTCATACAATAGGTAGAAAAGTAGAAAGCCTGCTGTCTCATGTTGGGACGAGTTGTACACAAATGTTGCGTAGGGTAGGGAAAGATCCCAGTCATGATGGTCTGGTGATATGTACATTGCAAGCATATTGGTAAGAGTACAATTAAAGCATTTCGTGAGACCGTTGGTTTGCAGGTGGTAAGCTATGGTCACTTTGCAATGCGTGTAACCTGAACCAGGATGTCGGCGATGACTTTGGAAAGAAATGTACAACCATGGTCTGTGAGCAGCCATTTTGATGCACCGTGAATCAATATAACATCACATAACAGAAAGTTGGCAACGTCGGTTGCTCAACTCGTTGGCAGAGCTCGAGTAATAGCGTAGCATGTAGCATAATTACTAGCCACGGCTATCCACTTGTTGCCTACAGTTGATTCAAGAAAAGGACCAAGCAGGGCTAACCCAACGTGGTAAAATGGTTGCATGGGTATGCCATTTGGTTGGAGATGGCCAGGGTGTACCAGCGATGGTGTTTTGCGATGTTGACATAACTCGCACGTGGCATCACATCGGCGTACTGAACAAGCTAGGCCAGGCCAGTAGAAACGACAGCCGTATGCGCTCGTGGGAGTGCGATACGCCAAGGTGTCCTGTGTGGGTGCATCATGAATTTCATCGAGGACGCTGCATCGTAAATTCTTGGGCATGACAATAAGAAGGTCAGGTCTGTTGGGCCGGCAACTGCGGTGGTACAGGACGCCCTCTTGAAACACCAAGTGACGGACAGAGGCGTCTGTTATGGAAGACGCCGTGTGGTTGATGATGTCAAACAGGAGTGGATCCTTTTTCTGTTTTTTCCCAATGTGAATGAAGTAGGACACTGAGAAGCATATGGGCTTGTCATCAGGTGTCCGCCATGCAGAAGGATTGCGGAACCAGGCGGTAATGGATGTGCAGAGGTGAATTGGTACTGGCAGTCGGTACGAGAAGGCATTAAAATAGATCATAGACCCATGCCAGCAATTTCCTGTCATGCAAAGGCTTGAAGAAGGGGCAATGGAATTGAAGGAGTGGAGTGAGGCGATGTTGGTGGCACTGTAGAAGGGGCGGCTGCTTCATGTTTACGCCTAATGAGTAGAGTTGTCACAGGTGTCGGATGGACACTATGGGTCGAGGCACGATGACGTCGCTACTGTATTTGGAAGCTGCTGGAATTTATGGGAGATGCATTTGCTTTTAGCATGTTCAAGCCGGCAGCATTCTTGAATTACAGCATTAACAGATGAATGTAATTGAATACCAAAAAATTAAATACATCGTAGGCGATACCTTTTGGAACATGCGCAACTTTGTCAGGCTTGGACATGTTTTCGTGAGCTTTGTGGCATAGTGCAAGGATATTCTGCATGTAACTAATGTATGACTCCCTGGAAGTTAGTGCGCGAGTGAACAACTTATTCTTCGCAGCTTGAGAACGACCAAAGGTGTTTCCAAAAAGCTTACGGATCTTTTTGTTGAAGCTGTCCCAGCTCGTAATATCATGCTCGTAGTTTTCAAACCAGACACGGGCGTTTTTGTCGAGATAAATGATCTTTGCGAGCATAAGTGTTGGGTCCCACCTGTAAGCAGCGCTGATGCGTTCATAGAGGCGTAACCATTTGCGACGTCCAAACACTCACGGCCTGAGAATATGCCAGGATCTTTCACGATGGGAAGCATCACAAAAGTTGTCGTGGCCGGTGGATTGGCAGGCAGGGCAAGAGGCGTAACGACCAGAGAAGTAGTAGTCCTGAGAGGCCATGTTGAAAGCCGCGAGTGAGTGCCCACTGCGGAGTTCCGCGATGAGGACGGGGATTGCGTAGCTCCACCAGATATGTCATGAGGGAGACAGACCCAGCAGGCGCAGACTTGAGGGAATATATGTATTTACAACTGGTTAGTTGAGCTGAGCTGCCAATACGAAGAGCTTGCGCCAGTCTATCTGCTGTCGTCCTCCTCATCGTTTTGATCGCTATGCCACTGGTACGTAGAAATATCTTGCACAAGAACGTGTTCAGAAGCTCAAACATTGGCATGACGTAAAGGGTACGGTGAGAACCGAAACTAGTAATTAAGAATGTAATATGATTTTCATGGCATACTTGCATTTGCAGATACATTTTCTTGGCCCTTGAGGGCTTGGCCTCTAATTTAATGCCCGCTTCTCTTTTCCTAAAAGATATAGATCTGGAAATGGTCGGTGCCCCTTTAGGCAGATTTTTTCGGTATGAGTGTATCTAAAAACCAACCAAACATTCCCATATTGTTTGGTATATCCAAGTATTCGACATAAGAAATTTCATCTTGACAAGAGTTCACTGTGTTACCTTAATGCTCTCTTTCTCTCAATAGAGCAGACGGGGTCCACAGAATTGCACCCGGTCGAGCGCTTGGTGTTTGGTGCCGTGGGTGGCCTGTTCGGCCAGTCGAGTTCCTATCCGCTGGACATTGTGAGGAGGCGGATGCAGACAGCACCCCTCACTGGACAGAACTACACCAGTGTGTTGGGAACCCTCACCATGGTATACAGGAGCGAAGGCCTCATAGGCGGCCTCTACAAAGGACTGAGCATGAACTGGATCAAAGGACCCATCGCCGTTGGTATCAGCTTCATGACGTTCGACATCAGCTCACACGCAATGCAAAAAGCGCTGGCCTCGCGGTTCTGGACCCGTTAGCCAAGTACCCGAGCCAGTTTATTCGAGGGATCTAGCTCCGTCATTGCCGGACTATGTAGCAATCGTGGCGGCAGTGCGTACTGGCTCTAGCCATTGTTGTAACATCGGTTGCGAGCCGTAGCGCAATGCTTCGCAGTGCGAGAAGCAACCGCGTTGCTTGTGCATCACTCCAATGCTTGTTCCAGGCTACAGCTGAAGTGGAACAAAAAGCTTTTCGCAGAGTTACGGTTGGGGCACGCTTGCGCTGTTGTGGGCGTTAGCCGTGTCAATGTTGTTTTATGGGGTACTGTTGAAAGATGCGTAAATATATATATATTCCGGTTGAGACGCTGCCGAAAATCTCTTTTTTTTTGGTAACTTACAGTTGCGTAGTGAAATCGTGATTGCCTTGAAAGAAGGGCAGCGACTTTCCTCTAGTCTTTCAACTTTTGTTGCGAGGACATAATGAATACCACTTGTTCAACTGCTTCTTATGTCTGATATATTTTAGTTTAGTATGATTTTATGAGACAGCATAGAGAGACCTACAGTGAACCATTGGCATAGGAACTTGTGTGGCGATTGCTAGCTTCCTGGTACCATTACTTGTGAGAGTAAAAAAAATATACTGGATCAGGTGCAGACATTTAGAGTTGTGCAGCTCTCTTATTGTGGTGATGCATAATTGTGTTAAGCAGGCAGCTGGAATTGCTCCAGTGAGCAGCTTTGTAAAATTAAGAGCTTGTTTGAATGTAGTCCACGCGAATGACGCGAGCGGTTGGGAACCTAAGCGTGCAGGTTAGCGTAACTTCACGTGCAGATAGCATTGTGCCTTGGCAGTCAGTCTCGCTGTTTAGCTGCCTGGGCAAACTCCTCGTGTGCGATTGCTAGTGGAATGTCTGATATTGATGCAGTTGTTATTAGTAGACCATACATTTTGTAACGGCATGCAGAAAACACTGGAGACTGCGTCTATGACAACTTTTTTTCTTGGGATGTTGCATTAATCGCTGATTTTAGCATATTCGCGTGGATGTAACGTCTTGACCAGCATCACGTAATCGTGAATGTCGTGCAAGAAGACGCCTTAGACGACTAATCAGTGATGCTGTGATCATAATGAAAGGAAACAGAACTGGAGTTAGTGATAATGACAGATGTGACACTTGTAATGCCGATTGGTGACACTAAGTCTAGGTTGTAGTACTTGGCTACATTGAGCAGACCATTTCAACACAGTGGAATGGATGATCCATTACCACGATGCACTGTCCCAGGGGCCCGAATTCGCTCATGTTGTTGCAACTGCATAGTTGTTACTCTTGTTAGACATTGCTGTGCCCTTGCTTTCATTCCACTTTGTACGAGTGAAAACTCTTTGCAAGCACGCACTTCCTGCCATTGTGAGACTTCTCCCACGATTCTCCGTCAAATGGTGGTTGAGATCACTGCACTGTTAAAACAAATTTAAATTCAAGGAAGGAGGGGTTTTCTGTGTCAAAAATATCTCATATTTGCTTGTTTTATAATGCAACATATCTACTCAGGCTGATATTCCTCCTTTCCTACCCTAAAGAAAGATTACGACGATGCATGCTCAGGTTAGCATCAATGCAATGTGGTGTTTTTTTTTATCACTGCACAGAACGGACATGAAGTCAATATATACTGAAAACTGGAGTGGTTCTAAAGGCTTGAGCAATTCTAGGTAGTCAAATGTGTGCAGCTTTGCTGTATAGGAATGTCTTGTTGGAAATGCCTGTGTACTTCCACTTTTATTAATTCATGATAAGTTTATATGAGCATGCAACTGAGGTGAACCAAACATCCCTTTATATGAATAAAAGAAAACATCTGAGCACTCCAGTTGTGTTCTGGGGCACATATACAGCTAGGAACCTGTGTTTATGCATACGTAAATTTGTGAGTGCAAAGGGCACTTTTAACACCTTTTAAGTAGGTATTTTGTTCATCATATGCAGTCCATTGTGCACCTTTGGAGCGGAGAAGAATTATTGAGAAGGTAAAACTGCGCTTGCTTGGGCATCCCAGAAAAGGTCACGAAATCGGGCACAGCACTGACACGCCCTCTGTCGTGGGGTCTGCTAACGAAGGACAAAAAATGTGCATGCCGTTCTCATCGCGCTCTCGTTGCAAGGCCACTCGGGGTTCGCGCTTCACGTCTAATGTCCAAGTGGATGTGCTTCTGTGTGTCCTTGCCGGTTAAATTATACTGCAACAGCGTTAAAGAGCTCGTTTCCCAGAAATGCTGGCATAGATTGAAGACACAGCGTCTGGTAATAAGACTGGTCATTTCGCTTTGTCCAGAAGAATTTAGCCACTAAGCTGACCCCAATAGAGTCGCCTGTCTATGTCGCTGTCCGAGGAGTGCTTTTCGCAAACAGTGTGGCAAGACATCGTCCCTCTGTCTTTCCTCGATATGGCGTGAGCAGACGCCTCCAACTTCACTGGGCCTCTAGAACGTTGAGGGGAATTACCTTGTCCTTGCATGATGCCTACCCACTATCACAGTTCGGCACAACACACTTGTGCCGCATCTTAAAGAACCACCCGTCAAAATGTTCGAAGCACTCGCCTTCGTTGCAGCATGAAAACTGCACGCAGACACCAAGGGGTCGGTGCCGCTGGCGCAACGCGAGGAAGCCAAGATCGTGAAGTGATTCATGGCCGCTTGTTGGGATCTTTCCATCCCAAGGCCACCTACACATGCAAGCCCATAACATGCAAGCGAAGAGCGTGTGCATGCGGCAGACGTCTTCTGCTTGAAGACCATTTAGCAGCTAGTTTTAAGCGCTGTACGGCCTATAATTCTAGCAGTATCAGTCAGTAACTGCAGCCAAAATATGTTGCATCTACCGATTGGTATTATGGACAGAAATTTAAAAATTTTTACAATGTACGAGGTGCTATTACAATTTTTGTGTGTCGCCTCCCCAGAAGCGCATGGAAAAGATGGCAACACGCTGAAAGGGTCATCTGTCGAGCTATGGCGCAAACCGCATTCCTCTACGAACAGCGTTGCTGCAGCCTGGGAGTTTCTCCTTCTCAAATATTCTTGCTCTGTGACCTTTGCTGTGTGAGCCAACTTCCGAGTGAGATTAATATTTTCTTTCTATACTGGAAGAAAGCAAGTTTTGTGTGGGTACATAGTATTGGGAACGAGGGGGCATCACTTGTGAGTTGTTCGCAATACCCACATCATTAGATATTCGTTCGAGGTCTTTTGAAGGCGTTGCGCCGTGCTCCCTACAGTGCTGCAAAAATTAGGCGCCTTCTTGTAACCACTACCACCGCCTTTTGATGAGATTGTACGGGGGTTGTAGAAGTTCTATTTCATAGTATATGCTTTGCGTGATAGTCTTTGTGATAAGTCTGCAATGTGAGTGCTGCATCTAGGATTAAATACAGTCCAGCTGAGACCGCTTTAAAGGGGTCATGACACCCAGTTTTCAACCATAATCTGTGTTGTGTGGGTTGATTCTTGTACTGTTCAGACAAGCTGGCAAAATTTGAGCGAATTTGGTTGAGCCATTCATTTATAATTGAATATTTTTATGAAAAAGTGAGATGGCTTAAGAGTCGGGCAATACTAGTGCGCTTACTAGTCAGTGACGTCTCAAACCGCTTGCTGGACGAGCTGCTGCACAATCTACATCCCGGAGGACGATCGTGTTTCATGGTCAGCTGCGCTTGCAATCGAACTTTTTTCTGTGTTGTTCAACTTGCCACTGGAACAAATTGACTTCCAGGCGTTGAAAGCAATGCCACTGCATCACCCATGTAGCGCTGGTACTTGCAGCAAGCAATTTCAGAGGTCAGAAAGTGTCCTGTGAGTGTGCAATGCATATGCCGTTTGCCACTACAGATAAATATTAATGAAACTCCTTGCAGACAGTGGCATGATTGAGTGTCACACTTGCTATTTTTCTTTTTTACCAGAACCCAATGCAGTCAACAGAGTTCAAGCAAAGATTCGGCCAAATGTATATCGTGAATAACCCTAGCACCACACTGACATGCCGTTCGCTTTGGCTAATGTTTACATATGCCGCACGCAACAACCGACGGAAAAACAATTATCCCAACGTACAGCATCTCGTACGACCACTTATTTTTTATGTTCAGGACCGAAAGTCATGCATGCACGTATGCTAGTCCAACAAAACTCTGCACGCTTTGCCAATTCCACTGGCACTAAGTAACATTTGCTCGCGAATGCAACGTCGACAGGACCCGCATATCCTAAAGCTCACTTTTCAACCTAACACGCTTGAATTAAAGCTGTTTATCATTGCGGAAAGCCAGCTGCAACGTCTGCCGTAATGGCGAGGTCGTTGGCATTTAGGCTCACACAGTCTTCGATGATTTCTTTGTCGCTTGAGCTGGTGGCGATAGAGTTGAAGTCAAAATGCGCAGTGTACGCGCATCGTTGCTGCATATGGCGATGGTACTGGTAACGCACCGTAACATTCTCAATCCACTCACACACGAGGACCACATGGCAAGCAATACTCACAACACTAACTGCATGCTGAAGCTGCTGTTTGGTAGCAAAGGCACTGCTTCTTCAGTTTGTGACCTTACGCACGCCATAACAAAATGGCAATCACCGGCGGTAGGCAGAGTTTGCAGCCGATGACTTCTACGACTTATTTTGGACTGAAATAATCTTTTACAGTTCAGTTTTCACATGTGTACAAGCATATTTGACCCTCTACTTTCATTCTTCGGCGAAAACCGTTAATTGTTGGGTAACTATGTCACGACCCCTTTAACCTCAATCGATTGTTATTTGGAGCTAACAGAAGCAAACGTGATAAAATAAAGCCTACCTTCCATTCTGCTAGGATACATTAACATGGCATCTTTTGTTCTAGTGAGACTTCGTGAATATTAAGTTTTGCAAGGGTTGGAAAGTATGCCGGAATGTGGTTGATTGACAAACAACATTAATTGCTGCCTTCACACCTGCAGTGCGTGTGAAAATCCCACAGGAAACGGAGTGGCATTATAAGTAGGCCTCTGTTACATACATTTGAAGCTAAACCACGAGATTAAGATAAAAGGCTACTGCTTTGGATGTATTGCTTGGTTTAAGAGATGGAAATGACAGTGCCTTGATTCACACAAGTCGAACGATTTGTGCTGCTGGAAAATCCGTCCTGCCATAGGCCAGGTTGATAGGCTGTCTATATGTACAGTACGATTGTCGGAAATGTACGTTGTTGTAGAGGCTGGCTGGACTTTTTTCAAGTGTCTGTGTAGCAAGAGTGTAGATAGCTGGGCCAATTGGTATGAATCCATGGTTGCAAGCAGCTCATTTCTTCCTGTGTGTTCAATTTGTTGTTTAGCGCTACCTTGAGTCCGAGTAGCATTTGAGGCTTGTGGGGATGATAGAAGTGCAAATTTTATTACAGAACAGCTGTGCTGCACAGGAACTCGGTCACTCGTGCATATTAAAATAGGTTGTTGAAATAAAGCTGAAAATTATTGCCTATGCTGCTTTCTACTCACATTTATTGTTGGAGTTGTGCATTTTGACATTTTTAACAAATGAGCGCTGTGCACAAAGTGCATGCTACAATTAACTGGGCTAATAGCTACGTTGCCCACTGCACAAAGCCATCTAGATTGTAGGTTCAACACACTGGTGCCTTAAAAAGATGCGATATGGCAATTATATAAGAATATTTGTGTAAATGAATGAAACAATGCAGTTTCGTTCATTTACACAAAACCACATTTTTGTGTAAATGAATGAAACACGTGAAAATGTATAGGCTTCTGGCTAGGCTTTTCGCCGCCGCCATCATTCACCATACATGTGTGTGTGTGTGTGTGAAAACTCAGAAAAAAAAAAAAAAGCTGCTTGTGCACGGCGAATGGGGAGGGGTAAAGCTGCCCTTATCCTTCGGTGGGGAGATATGGGTGTCTTTGTCTTTCATCAGAACAATTGCGTTAGTTCCAGGGCTCACAAAGGTTGTTAGTTTGCATTCATCTGTACTTATGGTTACGTTTCGGCGTCATTTTAGTCTAAACAGCACGTTAAGTGTCGAGTGGTAAACGTTGGTTCGCTCTCATTTTGTGTATGTTTTCGTGCGTCATTTGTGCATGAGCAGCGCCCTGCACGTTTTGATCTGCTTGCCGTTCTCAGAGTTACATTCCAAGTTGTTGCTATCGCATTCATTGCTTCGCCCTTGCGGCAAAACTGACTTTTCTTGTTTTGTTCCACACTTCTGGTGTTTGTTAGACTGAACCACGCATAGATTAAAGACAAAAGGCGTAGCCACACTAGATGCATGTTTTATTGTAACAAGCTTTTTTTTTTACAATGTCACGATGCTCTGGACAATGAGGGCATTAAGGCACATTGACACTCCCTTGTACAATCATGTGACCATTTTTTTAAACACTCATTCAAGTATGAAACACTGAGCTTTGAAACATCCGCACACAACACTGCCTCTCCGAAATTCCATTGTGGCTAAGTGTAAAGCTAAATAAATTAGGCTTTCTCCATTAACCAGAACACCTTCTACGGGTTAGGAAGATTCATCGGCAAGAAACTTCAACAACTAGCTTCCCTGAATGGGAAGCCGTCAGCTGGCGAGCAGGCTTAATAAAACTCTCTATGGCATTATGCCAAAAACATGTCCTCTACACCTCTACCTCCTTAAAGCATGCTTACGTATAAAAAAAAAAGTACATGCCGCTACTTTCAGGTTTTACTCTCTTCTCTCTTTTCTAAACAATGAGGTATATATTTACATGCAGCTTGCCTCTTGCAGTGGTACACATTTATATAAAGATGAGCAGCCTCGCACACAAATGACAGCAGTTAAAAAAAAAAAAAAGGAGGAAAGTTCTTCGTGGCATCTCTTGCCAACGCATACAATTACGCACAAAGACTAGAATGTCCACACAAATTTTTCACAGTTGGCAGCTTCGGGCAACGATGCTTCGAGGCCCTCCATGTCAATACCTGGGCAGAGAAATTTGAGCAAGGTTGAACAAAGACCGACACGATAAATAAAAGAAAAAAATTCACTGATTACGATACTGCATAATGTGAATTATCAGCGCTACTGTTAAGGTGTTTTGGTATTGCAATAAATTGAGCAAGTACGCATACATCAAGGCAGCGCAGCAAGTGGCAATTATAGAATGCTCGTTTTTGAGGCAGCATAACGTGTGTGAACCTGGGATGGCCAACTTGAGCTGTCGCTGGCTGATTGAAACGCTGTGTTGGAATATAAAGGACCCTTGAATCTTTCGTTAACATGCCTATTGAAATCGATGTTTTCGATCGTCAATTTTATGTTGAATTTGTTTCTCGTGTACCCGGCACTCTCTAGTAGTTAGTCCAGCCACTCAACTTTCGGAATCAATTTGAATTGGCCCGTTTTGGCAACATGGTAACATTTGTGCAAACCAATGTGCATGTGTGTTGAGAAAATGCACTTGGCTGGCGAACTTGACAGAAGTGCGTGCCCCTCGTAGTTACGCGACCGTAACATCGAAGTTTTCTAATTAAAAAATCTTTGCAAATCAAATATCAAACTAAGGTGTCAGCTTTGCTGTCTGACAGTGCTGAGCAGTAATAATTACCAGAAAGTTATGCTAGCTATTCAAATGGGTGCGCCGCAAAAACACATAGCACTTTAAACTGTCTTGCAACCGCACCTGAATCAAATAAACACGTTTAAAGTTCGAGGATCACAGCACCTCAGCTTCAAGTTTTTCAAGTTTTATGGTGACGATATTAAGCGTCAGCCTGGAACATTCGCAACTGTTAATGTTTTTTTTTGTGTTGTTGTTGTTTACGGCCTCAAGTTGTCTCCTACGCCGCAAGTGTAGCTACACTGGTTGCATGCTGAGTTCTTCGCGTCACTGGGGCGCGTGGTGCTGGCACCAGCGGCAGAGTTTCTCCTCACGAAAAGAAGGTACCAAAAGCACATCTTAGCTTTGACTACGGAGCAGCGTGCAATATTCTAGAACTGCTCGCGATATCGTTCTTTTCAATATAATGTGCAAAAAAAAAATGCTTGGATGCAAATATTGGAATGCCAACATATGCAGAGTGAGGTGGCTCATTTCAAAAGAGGTGACGCTAGACGAAATAGCAAAGTTCATTCGACATCTGATTTATAGCGGGATTATTCACATCACGAGCATTCATCTATATCAGAACACCTGCAGGCTGTAATCGCAAAAAAAACAAAAGTTTGCTGAGAAAAGTGTACGAGTTCACTTGTGTCCCACAAAAAACCAAGAAATGCTTCACCGCATGGCACAAGCAATGAAGCGGCAGCTCGGTTTCAATTTTCCTTGAGGCATTCTCAGTGACTGCAGATAAAAATCGAGGCATCATTTTCATCAGCCGGAGCTTTCCAATCTTCGAATGCTTTCCAAAACCAGCCGTGCACCATAGCAGCTCTCAGTCTGGACCACACACCAAA